AAGTTGCTTGGTGGGTGGAGTAATCAAGACGTGAGAGAGCAGCTCAACTCCGCAATTAATAAACACGTCACCGTGGCACATTCACAGTAAGAAAAATGTATGTCACTGGCTGCTCAAGCATTGACCCAAAAATTTTGGGTAGGTGATATATTATTTTCAATTAGTTTTATCTACTGTATTCTATAGGGCACTGTGTAGTGCTGTAGCAACAGTACGCCAAAATTCACAGCTCTTACGGTACCGTTCAGACAATACGAAAGCTGTAATGAATTTAAAACGACGTATTGAACAATCACCATAAGCGATAAATAGAATTTATAGAGAAGAAATAATATCCTTATACATGTAAAAGAAAGAACGTATACGATTCCAAAATGAAGCATTGTCGAGATTGTCTGTACCTATTTGATCTATTGGCTGTCTGAGACACACTCTTTTATAACGTTCGTGTACATGTAAAAGAAAAAACGCATACGATTCCAAAATGAAGCATTGTCGAGATTGTCTGTACCTATTTGATCTATTGGCTGTCCGAGACCTACTCTTTTATAACGTTCGTGAATAAGATTCACACCAGACCACAAGGACATGTCGACTGGTATATTTTGAAGATGAATTATTATTTTATCAGATTCCTTTTCAATCTGACTCACAGTAAATAAAGTCCATGGAAGCAAAAGTACTTCTTCTTCATGTTCATATTCTGACATACATGGTAATTCAGCTGAGAGCCTTCCCAAGTTAATTGCTGTATCACATTTTTGTTTGAAATGAAAGATCATTAAAACACACCATCTTTCATCAGTTCGTGGACCAAGAAACATCTCAGCTACCCGTTGGTCTAACGAAGTAGAAGAAAATGTTCGTGTCAGAATAGCTCCTTTATTTTTCCAAGCCCATTTATAAGCATGCAGATTTGCATTTGTCATTCTAAGCCCACGAAAGGAAACACCTTGATAATAACGACACTGTAGTTTATCTAACGATTTGAAGAGCGGAGTGGCTAACGGTAGTGTATCATTAGCAAGGGCGCCGTAAAACGGTGTCTCAAGTGTGTAGAGACGAAGTAGAGGTTCCGGCTGTTCTTTAGTGAATGCTTGAGCAGCCAGTGACATACATTTTTCATACTGTGAATGTGCCACGGTGACGTGTTTATCAATCGCGGAGTTGAGCTGCTCTCTCACGTCTTGATCACTCCATCCACCAAGCAACTTCCGATATAGGGTTCTCGCAACACTTGTTTGTGCAAGTCCTTTTTCACCAGCCACTTTTGACTTAATTAACTCGATTTCTTCTGATGTTTCATAACCTACTAACCATTTGTCATATCCAAAACTTCCATAGTCATCTTCAAAAATCCCATCTTCTCCCATTTTCGTCGTCACTTTAAACGCACTTCCAGCTCTCTCACTCTCATCACAAAATCGATTTCTACTGCCACTAGGACGATGAAATA